CGCCTTGTACAGTCAATCGACAGAGTTCGCACTAGGAAAAAAGTACTCCGTCCATACGGAGAGCTTCAGCAAAGGGTTGAAGACCTGTTTGAACAGAATTTTATCATAGAACGTGGAAAAACTATATTTCGATCGGGTGTGTCCACTAAACGATCCTGACACGTGGAATAAATTGGCAAACGCTATCGATCGTCCCGTAAAATTGTAGCTCGCCTCTGCGGTAGCTAAATGGGAACACAGCCTATGTCTTTACACTGTAACGCCATTGTGCCGCGTTACAATACCTCTTTATGAGACGACGCGGTCACAAAGTGACGGAGGAAGCAACGATACGTCTTCGTTGCATCGTTCTGCAAATATTGCCCCTTCGGTTTCCCCATGATTAGCCGAACTATCAAGCAAACCATCCCGAACGGAGTTCCGTAAAGCGGATAAAGCGTGCGAGGCGGGTGAAAAGCGAGAATATTTCTCGCTCGAGGACTCGACGTGGAAAAGGAAGAAACGAGGTTCGTGCAGAAAGTAGAAGGCGCACGCGTGCAAAATGGCGCGATTCGGAGGACCCTTTGATCTAGAAAGTCCGTGGGAACTCGAGCAGAACCGTTCGCTTTCGCGATTTCTATTCTCGTTTGTTCGCACGAACGCGAGAAAAAAGGGAAAGAAAGAAAAATTCGGCGAATATAACAACAAACACCTGACGAACAACGGCGATACAAGTTGCTCGAAAGAGCTCGAGGATGTAAGATTTGTCCCAGGCAATTCCTCCTCGGTCGAGTCGATGACATAATCGGCCAAGTGTGCGCATGCAAATGAAACACGCACAGCTCTCTGCCCACGGAAGCGTCGCTATTAATGCAACGCGATTGTTGCAAAACTGAGGGGAAAAAAGGGATCTGAAGACGTGAAGTATGCGTGTGCATGTGTAAACGTGATTGAACGACGTGCACGCGCTTATTGCGCAATCCTACCGAAGCTGAGATCACCGTAATCCGTGTTCATCTTCCTTCGGGCTATTGCGAAGGCCGTGTACGATTGCTGCTTCTCTCGCGTACAACCGTCGAAATATCAGGGTAGGCAAACACCCGAAGAAGGGGAAACAAAAGGGGTAGATTGAAGGGCTGTTTCATCGGGCGGCATAAGGAAGACCGGGAGAACGTTGGAATCCTCTAACATTGATAACGGGGACACTGGCTTGTATTCAAGAGAAATTTTCCAATTTTTCCTTCTTTCTGTCCAGCCCTTTCGCCTCGTATTCAGATCGATGCAAACGAAATATCTGCGAGAACAGAATATTCTTTCGAAAGAAAAGATCCCAATCGCGAAATGAATCACGTAGAAAAGAAGGATTTCGAGCGGATAGAAAATTCCTCTTTCGAAGAGGTGAGAGAGCGACACCGAGGAAGTTATTCGACGACTAGTGATCTAAACACATCTCCTGCGGTGGATTTCGGCAGTTGGTATGACCTAAAAATTAGCGTAAATTTGACGAAAGGTGCTTAGACACCCGTTCCTCCGTAACAAGCCACGCTTGCCTCTCGCTCTTGAGTAGCTCGCTCAGCGTTTTCGTGACTCGAGTGGCTCCACACGAGCTTTTCAGACGCGAACTTTCAGCCGTTCAGAGCAAAGTGTACGCCTGTGGCACGAGGTAGAGACGGAGAGTGGGAACAAATCTGTGCACCGAGCAGCATCGGTGGAGGAAAAGAAGGGAAAAGGAAGGAGGAAAAGTGGGTCGTAAGAGGGATTCCTTAACCACCCTTGATTTGCAGCCACTTCTCAGCTAATTGACTCGACTCCAGACACCGCTTTCACCCTCGAATCGCATCGAGGATCGTACAAAACGTGCTTTCCAAATTTCTCAGACACCCTCGAGCCTACTTTTCTTCTTTTTGCGTTTTTTTTTCTTTCCGTCACAGTGTCGATATAAATTTATCGTCCAATCTTAGTAGTTTTCCGATAACGAAATTCTGAACTTGAGGCAAACAGTGATAGGAATCATTCACTCTTCCTTCACACTTCGATCTTTCACCTTTTTTTTTTTTTTTACGTGGGGAGATCCTCAATGGACGCCTCGCCCCCCGGGGGAGGGGGAGGGGGT